TCTCTCTCTCTCTCTCTCTCTCTCTCTCTCTCTCTCTCTCTCTCTTTCCGTACTCCTCATCCAGCCCCTACGCAATTACCTTCCCCCACCTGCACCACTGTTCTATCATCTACACCTTCTCCCTCCCTCCCTCCACCCCGCAAAACGTTACGTGTTTATCCCCCGTTCCTTCACGTCCGTGAACATCGTCCCTCCTCCTCCTGTTACCACAGGGCATCCCCCCGTTACCCCCATTAAACCGGGGACTCCCCCGCGAGCCCTTTCCCCGAGCCACCGAAAACTTCCCCTGCATGCGTACTGGGTATCCCCTTTCATCTAGCGGCACGCATTCGGCATTCAGTCAGGAGTCAGTTACAAGCGAACCGCCGACAGGCCTGCAACGTGCCTCTACGTCCGCTCCCTCGGCTCTACCCTCTGTTATTAACGTGCACCCTATTCCCGCGTGGTGCTGGCGGTGGGGCGTGCGCCCGCGCGCACGACACGTGCTACCCATCGTTGTCCGCGTTTTACGTCGATGCTACGTATAATGACTTGAGCAGGTATATTTGCGACACGTGTATTGGCACGGCTGATTGGGGTAATTTTGTTAAAAGTAATTTTGTTGTTCTTGTGGTTTCGTTTGGGCGAGGGTAGGGGGGGGGAGGCGGGGCCGCATGAAGGAATTCTAATGGGTTTCGATCGGAATAATTTTTCCCACGTGGGTCTTACGTATTGTTGTGACATATTTCGGGCGTCTGATTGATTGCGTACGTAAGGAGTCATTTTTTATTTTCTAATAAGAGCTTACGGTAGAGATCGTGCAGCACCTGTCGACGTGAAATTTCGTAGAACGTTACGTAAGGATTCGCGTCTGTTGGTTAAAGTACGCTCTTTAGATGAAGATGAAGTTTCTTTTTTTTTTATTCGTTTCGTAAATCGTCCTCGACGTCTTCAATTTTTCCTATCTACCGAAAGCCGTCACTCATGTATAGAGTATTGCTGGTAGACGATGTTTACGCAGTTGTTTAATAGCGTAGAGTTATGAAATATTAACGTCAAAGCTTTAGCAGGCATTTGGTCGGTTAATCGATCGCGGAAAAATTATCGTTCTTGTATCTTGATTAATGACTTTCGGTGCTCGACCGAGCTCTTGACACAGTACCGGTGTCGTTGATGTAGATGCTGATGGCACTTGGCGGGTTCGAATTATCGTTTCGAAATTCTGGCGATTTCTCACGTGAGAATTGATTGAAAAAAAAAAGGTCTATAGATAAAACGAGAGAGGAGATAACTGGTATGAGTCACGGAGATCAGTCGAAAGAATTTTGGTGTTTTTTCTCGTTTCAGGGAGCCAATGAGTCCACGTTGTCCCTCGAGAGACTCTCGGGAATCATTCGGTCCTGCTACCGGAAGTCCCCCACCTCCTGCGCGAAGAAGCGCCAGTCCCGTTAGTCCAAGCAGTATCGTGCCTCTACCCCTGGGGAGCCACCCTCTCCTGCCACCCCATTCGGCAGCCGTCATGGCGGCCTACCTTCAGCAGACGCATCAGCGACTTCTTCTGGGGCACTCACCCCTTTCGAGGGGCTCGGTGTCGCCTTTGGTCTCGTCCTCGTGTTCGCCCCCGGCTGCGACCCCCGGACTCCTGGTGTCGCCCACGAGCGCCGGGGAGATCTCACCCACGGCGACGCCCCTGCCAGGTGTTCTTGACTTCAGCACTAGGAAGGCTTCGTCAACGGAAGATGACGAGGACGAGCATATACTGAACCTGAGCAAACCCCCGACGCCTTCCTCGTCCTCGGAAACGAACAATGGACCCCTGGATCTGTCTGTACCAGGACGTAAGCGTCCTGGACCCGAGGATTCACCGCCGCCACCACCTAGAAAGTCATCGAGACTCGCCACAGCAGCAGCTGCGCATCAGGAATCAGCATCACCCTCATCGTACAGCCGACCAGTCGTCTCCCCGTGGACGTCGCCGGTGGTCGCGTCGCATTTCCCTTACTTCGCCGCGGCCGTCGCGGCGGCTACTAGTCAACAGCAGCTCTCGCCGAAGGCTTCCGGCGGGGTGGAGCACCAGCTTTGGAACGGCAAGATGAAACCACCGGTCGCCCTGGAGAAGTCTTATCAGCCCAGTGAAGCGACTAAGGCTTTGGAAAAGATGAGCGAGCTCAGTAAACTCGGTGGCGAGGATCTCTACAGGTCGGGAGGTGGTGGTCCAACTGGTGGTGGATCCACGACAGCCACGAGCTCTGGCAGCAGTCGTCACAGTGCCTGGCAGTCGCACTGGCTGAACAAGGGCGCCGATCAGGCCAAGGACGTACTAAAGTGTGTCTGGTGCAAGCAGAGCTTCCCTACCCTGGCGGCCATGACGACGCACATGAAGGAGGCCAAGCACTGCGGTGTAAATATGCCGGTGCCACCATCTCCGTCCAGTCTTCACGGGCAGCAACCACCGATTCAAAACATTCAACCACCTCAGCATCAATCCCAGACGTCGACGAGTGGGGGCGGGGCCGGCGGGACACCAAGCAGCAAGCAGAGTCCCTCTGAGCTGAACCTTCTGATCAAGGAAACTATGCCGTTGCCAAGAAAGCTTGTGCGCGGTCAGGATGTATGGCTTGGCAAGGGCGCAGAGCAGACGCGACAGATCCTAAAGTGCATGTGGTGCGGTCAGAGCTTCCGTTCCCTTGCAGAGATGACCTCGCACATGCAGCAGACCCAGCACTACACGAACATCATCTCCCAGGAGCAGATCATCTCTTGGAAGTCATCGGACGAGAGTAAAGGCGGCGGTGGAGGCGCTGGAGGAGGATCCGCCGGTAGCGGCGGCGGAACCGGTGGTGCACCTCCCGGTGGAGGCAGTAGCGGTCACGGAGGAGGTGGTCCCGGAAGCGGTGCCACTAGCAGCCACGTGAGTGCCGTTCTAACCTGCAAAGTCTGCGACCAAGCGTTCAGTTCGCTCAAGGAACTCAGCAATCACATGGTCAAGAACTCCCACTACAAGGAACACATAATGCGCTCCATAACGGAGAGTGGAGGACGCCGAAGACAAACTCGGGAGAAGCGGAAAAAGTCTTTACCGGTGCGCAAGCTCTTGGAACTCGAGCGGGCCCAGAATGAGTTTAAGAATGGTGATGCCGGGGCGATCGGTATCGGTCATGCCCTGGGCAAGCACGC